GGTGGGTGAGTGCATGTGGAGGGCCAGTGCTACACTTGTCCTTGTTGGGTAACTCTTTGAGTTGTGCTATCTGATGGGCACAGGCCGAAGCTTTTGCTATCTATCATTGGGGACGAGGTAGCAGTCGGAGGTTTCTTCATTACAGTAACTGATCCCAACTCTGGGCCCTGGCAGGCAGCAGAATCCCCTCGCACCCGGACCTTGTTTTTATTTCTTTATTCCTTTTGTACATGTATCTGAGATACAGAGGTTTCTGTTTCTCAGAAAAATTCTTACCATTGGCCTTAAATAAAACCAGGTGACTTTCTTGGTTCAAGTGGCTTATAGAAAGAATATCTTTGGAAACAATTTAAATAAATTCATGCAGTTACATTCATTTCAATTGAATTTGAATAATTAAATTTATATTCTAAATTTTTCCTTAAAAGCATAATGTGTTATTTTGGAAATCTGTATCAGGGTTGCTAGGATTTTTTTCCCTCTCTTTTTGGAGAGGGAAAAATTTGCTGCAATTTTGAGCAATATATAATTGACAGAATTTTTCTTCTTAACTCTTTCTGCACCTTTCCTAGGTGTGTGAATTTTTACTTTTTTCATTTAACAAAGTCCTTTAATCTATGTGGGTTAAGTTATTATCAACGTAATGCTTGCCTGATTTCAATAGAGAAGGATAGTAGGAAAGTGAACATAGTGGATGCAGGGCAAGGGAGTGGTGGTGATGTCAAGAGTAGGGGTCCATGTAGGGGGATGGCAAGAGGGGCTGCTCAGGGGTGGCATTTGCAGGGCTAGTTAGGAACGGGGCTCCTGGAGACAACCAAGAAACAGGGTCGTGGAAGGGGTTTTATTGAAGGAGTAATGGGAAAGACCTCACCCCACCAGATAATCCTTACCGAGACCTGAAAAATCTACGATTCACAGTTCATTTGTTTGTGTTAAATACCCGTGTTCCTGCGGTCGTCTTTTGCTGAGTATATGTCTCTCCGAGCAATTATGTTTTAATTCACTAATATCTTAGTGCGGGTTAGTTTTTCTAATTAAATTTGCTGTGAGATAACTCTTCCCCAGGATCAGGTGGAGAGTAAAAGAGGGAAAGAGCACAGAACAGGAGAGCAGCTTTATGAGCTTCACCGTGTGGCTCAGGTTGACAGCTGAGTTAGCAGGAAGCTTGGGAAGTTCACGAACAGGGCAGTTGTTTCTGGCAAGGATGGATCAGCAATGATCCAGGGCACCTTTTATCTATCACTGATTTTGTTCTTCAACCCGGGATGATGAAAGATGATGTGTATCCAATACCTGGTTTAAGCTTGGACCCATGGTAGGCGCTGAAGTTAGGAAGCCTCTTAAACATAGTGTATTATAGGTGGTTGTCAGGATGGTATAGTAATATAGTTCCTTTAACAGCCTTCAGAATGAAAAGCGAAGGCCTTTAGAGTGGAAAAAGTTACAATAAAGCCTATCGTCTTTCTTCCTTGGAGATTGTGGCCAGAGGGTGAATGGAGAAATTGATACTTGGAAATATCTTAGGATAGACTCTTTGGCATGTTGATTATGACTCCTTCAAGGAACGCGGTAAGCTGAGTGCTGGCGTGTGTTGACATGAGATTCTTCCATCCTGCCTCATGCACACGTGGGTAGTGGGCCAGGGGCGGGGGTCCCTGTGGAGGAGAGGATGCTGGTGCTAGACAGTGTTCACACCTTCCTTCGCTGCGTCTCTGCTACATCTGCAGGGCCCTCGCTGTTTCCGCACGGGCCGTGGTCTGGTGGCTTTGTGCCCGTAACTCCCTGTATTAGTCCTAGTTCTGCTGGTGAGTAACAGTCATGCTGAGATGCCAAGAGCTCATGCCTTATGGTTATTAAGGATGTTTTGAATCTTTAAACAGGAATGGTACCTTGGCTGAATATCAATTTGGCTTCTGTTGCTCCTGGAATTTCTTCTCCATTTTCAAAAAGCCAGCTCGTTTCTCTTTCCTGTGAGGTATTTCCTGTGGTTCTTGTGTTTTTGTGGGCAAATGTATGATGAGGGAAGTCAGTAGATTGTGAGTTCCTACTTTTTTTTTTTTTTTTTTTAGCCCCGAGAGCAGTGAAGCATGTTCTTTATCTCTAAACTGGAAACGTAGTTTTTATGTGTTGGTTTTTGAGAGGGTTTTTATGTACTTTGTAGATCATCCTTAGCAGCTTAGGATCATTTTTGTTTGAGTAGGGAGGTAATTGCAGGTAAAAAGGATGAATACGGTGATGGCGACACTCTTCTGTAGCTGGGTCAGGTCCTCTGTTGGACTGCCTTCCTCATTCCCGTTTCTGTTTTCTTTGAACGTAGGGTGCTTAGGAAATGTTGACTGAAGGGGACAGGAGAAGAAGGGAGTCATTCAAGATCATACTATTTGTCAGTGATTCAGGTTTCTGCTCTCAGATAATTCTATTGGTGTATCACCCCAAATGAAGCTGTTTTGTTTATTTTTCTCCTACAGCCCGTGAAATGTGGGATGCACTGTAGGTACTAGATTATAATTAAAACATTACTGAAGTTTTATCTTCTGCTTTGTGACGTATATAAACTGCACATTCCATGTGTGTTTCAGTTTTTGGTTTGTTTTTACTTGCTGTCTAGTGTTTGAAATTTTAGACAGGATCCAACATGTAATAGGTGTCATGTTACGTTTGGAAACTCAAATATCTTCTATAAACTTTGAAAGCTTCATAGGTTATTTAAAATATATTCATGGGGCGCCTGGGTAGCTCAGTTGGTTAAGCGTCTGCCTTCGGCTCAGGTCATGATCTCAGGGTCCTGGGATCGAGTCCTGCGTCGGGCTCCCTGCTCAGCGGGGAGTCTGCTTCTCCCTGTCCCTCTGCTGCTCCCCCTGCTTGTGCTGTCTCACTCTTTTCTCTGTCAAATAAATAAATTAAAAAAATACATATTCATGTATTGGATCATGGTTTTTTTTTTTTTTTCCATCTATACCATAACTGTTGGTTGTATTTTTGGTGTGATATTCAGGAGGAGAGTGTGCAGCAGTGATTGTCTTGAAAGATCAGTAAGTTCCTAATGAATTCAATTTTATGTGTTAGAGATCATTACCTGACCATGTAGTATGTGTCATGCCTTCAGAAATTTATCTGTTACATCAATAGCCTTTAATTGGCCCCCTCAAATCAAATTTATCTTTTTCTAGTATGTCATTACTCCATGGCTGCATCAAGCTTCCTGAAGCTCTGGGCTGGCCAAGCCAACCTCTGTTTTGATGGGAAGCCTTTATCACCTGTTATCGCCCCTTAGCTACTCTGGGATTGGAAAATGAGGGGGTGGGTAGGGTACGTGAGTTTGGAGGTATAGTAAACATATTCAGGTGAACTCAGTGTTACTGTTGATGAATTTTTGCTACTCATGTGGGCTTCACCTCCAGAATCCTTAGGTAATGAGAGAATTGAGTGAGAATAGCCACTGATTACACTGCCACAGTTGGAACCAGAGGAGAGAGTGATTAATTGAAGTCCACATAATACCAAGACATATTTTAATTGCTCCTTTTCATTCATTCATTTATCAGCTGACATCAATGGCAAAGCTGAGTTTTAGTGACTGGAATTTTGCTTGTTGGTACTGACACCTCTACCTTACAGAATGGGAAGTCATGAGAAGCTGTCAGTGCTGGAATGATGTAATAAGGTATATTACGCAAACAGGTAACTAATCAGGGCTGAAAATAGTGACATTGTGAGGTTGGGAGTGTTGTTTATGTGCTGTCCTCATCTCTCATTGCATAAAGTTGATTGAAAGTGTTTAGAAAGGCTAAATTTAGGAACTTTATATATTAGAGATACAGAAGGAACAACCAGGAGAAATACCAAAATCACTGAAAGGATTTGCTTCTGAGGAGCAAGGCTGGGAGTGGAGTACGGTGAGCCAGGCTACATTTGTTTTTCATTTAAAGCTTTTTGGTTATACTTATATATTTAATTATGTGCATATGCTACTTTGATAAACACAAAATGCACATTATTACAAAATCCTTCTTATCTTTTTTTTTTTTCCCCGTGGTAGAGAAAGATGGTAGCAGAGTGGTGGACATTGAGCAGTGGGAGTAAGGGATGAATTTGAAGAAGTCCATAGGCTTGACTCCACATTTGCTTCTTCAGAACTCAGTTTGGTAAAAATCATGCCAGAGTTTTGAACTGTGAAAACAAAACAAAACAAACAAAACAGTAAACTAAGAAATGGACAATGATGAATCATTTTTAACACCATACACAGATCTTCCCAACCTTGAAGCACAATGGAACAAATTATCTGTGAGCACTGACATTGAGCATCAGCGTTGGATTAATGCCTTTGCTGCCATTGTGGTCCCTGGTGCTGCCCCAGGACCGGGGGGGCCTTGCCAGGCTGGAAATTTAGGTCAGAGCCAATCGTTTGCCTAGTAGGAGCTCTGCTGTTGAAGAATACTATACAGAAAAGCAGGAACTGAGTTCCAGATAGGCAAAGAATAGGACGAGAGAGCAAAGTATTACTGAGTTTGCGTCCAGGGACACTTTGCAGGAAGGGCCGTTGCTTAAGGCTGGCGCTTCTTAGAGCCACTAATTCTGAGAACACGTGACTGTGGAGTTCATATTTAATTTTGGTTTGATTACATTCAGGCAGTACCTCAGGAGTGAAAAGGCAACAAAAGAACCAAACCGAAAAAGTTTAAAAGTAGAAAAATAATTCCCGGGACGCCTGGGTGGCTCAGTCATTAAGCATCTGCCTTCAGCTCCGGTCATGATCCCGGGGTCCTGGGATCGAGCCCCACATCGGGCTCCCTGCACTGAGGAAAGCCTGCTTCTCCCTCTCCCGCTCCCCCTGCTTGTGTTCCCTCTCTCCTGTGTCTCTCTCTCTGTCAAATAAATAAATCAAATCTTAAAAAAAAAAAAAATTCCCTAATTCTTGTTGTCTGATTCCAGGGCCTGGACAGAAACAGAAATGCTCATTTGAAACCTGAGTGTTTGGCTGGCAGGGGCATTTATCCAGACCCATAGTTCTCAGTCTGGCGGCTCTCTGCCCCTTCCAGGGAGCTCTGGAGCAGTCATTGACTTGAATGGAATTCAAGGATATGTACTTTTTGGGGGGGGTTGGTAGGCCATACTTTACTTCCAAGGTCAACTGGAAAGTGCCTGAACTAGCCCTTCATCTTGGGAAATTTTGCTGTTGAGATAATTTGACTAATAGGGATGGTTTGTGTTGTTTATTTGGCCCCCTACATAGGAGTCCAACACAGTCACCAAGGACGGCACAGATTTCAGTGGCTCTTTGACATTATTTTAAACAAACATTTTGTTTGTAAATTACTAGGGATATAAGAGATTAAACTTTGACTCATCCAACGTTAGCTCTCTCTTCATACTCACCCTACGGGAGAGGAAATTTCAAGATGGATTTTCACTTGAAGCATACCTTGAGGAGGAAGGAGCCGTTAAGAAACATCCAGAGTTACATTTTGCAGCACCATTTCATGCATGAGATATTTCTGGGGATATCTTTAGGAGAGCTGGGCGTCAGGAGTTGGATATAAGAATAAAAAAAAGTAAATGGTGAATTCAGGCAGAGGCAGATATGTGAATCTGAGTTTGAATAAAACAGGATTCCAGGGTGCATATGAAATACAGTCAAGGTATTTAACACAGCAGGAATTCAGGGTGACTCTCTTCCGCCCCCCACCCCTTCGTGGGCCCTCAGCTCACCTGTCAGGCTTGCCTGTCAGGTACATCTCTTAATAACTGAGTAAGTCCTATGGGATGTTTGCTGCCAGGACCAGACCGGAAAGTTGAGCAACCTTTTAATTGCTATTTTCCAGCGTGTAGAGCAAAGGGGTTTAGCACACTGGGTGTAAAGTCCTTCCTCCTTTTGAAAACCTCAAAACCAACAAACTACTTCCTCTCTTAATCTCTGATGGGGTGAGTGAGGAGGCTGAGCCTTTAGTAATGTAATGCGTGTGGCCCTAGAGGTCAGGATCCTCCTACTCAGAGTATAAGGCTTGCAAAACCTGCTGTGAGTGCCCATCTCCTGCTTGGTTCTGTGAGTCTGGCGGTGGTCAGTGTCAGAGCAGGAGGCCCTGTCTTTTCTGGCTGCTTTGGATAGTTTCTGGTTGTTTTAGTGACAGACACTTGACAGACACTTGATGTTTTTAAAAATGCCGATTAACATAGTGAGGCATCTCTTGCAGAATGTCTTTCTACCCGGCTGCTACTAAATGGTTGGTGGGTGGATATTTTTATGGGCTGGAATTAGGGCAGGAGGTTCTCCCCTTTCTTCTCAGTATGCTAGAATCCCATCCTGTCCCTGGAAAACATAGGAAGAAATAAAGTAGCATGTGTGTGATGTAAGCAGCTGTGTTTATAATCAGGTGATAGTTCTTTTAGTTTTACTTACCCCCATGGTTTTAAAAACCATGTTATAGTTTGAGGGAAATGATGGCTCTTGTCTTCAGCCTGTAGTCAATATGGAAACGATTTCTAAGGCAGCCCAAAGTGGGTGTCTTTTAAATTAACTCAGTTGCTTTTTGTCCTAAGCTTTTAGTTTTCCAAATTTTTCTTCTTCTTCTTCTTTTTTTTTTTTTTTTGGTGGCAAAATTTATACCTTCATAAAGGATCAGTGAGTAGTAATTCTCTATTACTTTTAAATAAGGAAGTAGGAAGTAATACTGGTTTTTGTAAATAATGCTCTATTGTTCCTTTCCAGTTGTCACCACATGGTGGTCTTGAGTGGTGTGGGTCCACTGGGGCCCTCAGCCAGGTGAGGGGACGTTTGTCTTCCCTAGAGGTGGAAACAGCACAGCTATAGGGAGATCTGCGGCTGCAGCAAACCTCACAATAAGCATTTATTGATGTCCTGCTGTATACTAGGCATCCTGTTGGCTGTTGAGGGAATATGAATAGACCCACGGCCTACAGCTGAGTTGCCTGCAGGGTTCTTGTTTCTTGAGTCAGTGATTGCAGCAGAACATTTGCAGGAGGGCTGGCCAGTTGCTTTCTGTGTTTAAGGTGTCTGTGTTTAAGGTCAATTTGTTTAGTAAAACTCAGGGCAGTGAACAATCAGGGGTGGCCCTGGCTTTCTGCTTGTGAACGTTCAGCAATGTTGCAGGAGCAGTTGAGCTTGCTTTGTGACCAGCAAACCCTAACAGCCTTCCTGAGCTATTGTTCATAGATAACTTTATAGCAGAGTTAATTTGTCATATAAATAAGAATCACAATTGGGTTATACTGTAATTAAATGTAAATGATAAGTAAATGCTCATGTTCATGCATTCAGCAAACATTTACTAGTAGCCTCTGGTGCCAGGCAGTGTCCTATGCACTCTCCCCTGTTCTGTAGAGGGGTAGAGGGGCGGTGACACCAGTGCTGTGCACGGGGTAGGGGGGCGGTGACACCAGTGCTGTGTGTGGATTAGAGGGGTGTTGACACCAGAGCTGTGCAGCTACACTTGTCTGCCTTATCTTGTTCTTGGGTCCTGTTAGTGTACCTGTGTGGTAGCCTCCCTCTCTCCCCCACATACCTCGAAGGGTCTCTGAGTCCCTCGTGCCCACGTTATTTGTTGTAAGCGATGGAAAGCTAGAGGGGGCTGACATCTCAGGACATGAGACTGTAGAGAAACAGGATAGATGACCTTCTATACTTGGGGAGAAGAGAGCCTGTCCAGGATTGCCGGGGCAGGAGCAGGGGGCCCTGGAGGGAGGCCCCTCAGAGGTCTAGGGCAGAGTGATGGGTGTATGCCCCCGCCAAGGCCGCACACCCCAGGCACCTGCAAGGGAGGGTGGGTTGTCCTCAGGGCCAGCTCTAAGGGAAGTTTGATTTCCAAGGCAAGACAAAGACAGAATGATTTCTTCCCCAGGTTCTTCCTTTTGCCTACAAGTCCTGTTGAGGTGATGGTAGGGGGTTTGAAGGAATTAGGGAAAGGTACAACCAAGAGAGGCAGTAGTAACACACAAACTTTATTGGATGGCACTGGAAGAGATTGTAAGAGACTAGCCAGAGGCTTACAGCAAAGGGACCACTATTCAGAGGGGGAAGAGAGTAGGGGACTCCCTGCGGGGAAGGGGCCTGGAGAGGGCTCAGGTGTCTAGGTGATGTTGCTCAGCTGCAGAGAGCTCCCAAGGGCCTGGGCCTAGAGGCTGAGAGCCTTAGAATTATAAGACCCTGTCTTTTCAGTATCAGGAGAGGTTCATGGGGTGTGTAAGCAGGCTAAATGGCAAAAAAAATCGGCTTGCTTATGCTATTTAAATTTTTTTTTAAATTTAATTTGTATTATTTAATTAGATGTGTAAAATTTTGAGTTTTGTGCCTGTGGGCTTTTGAGTTAACTGGTCTTAGCCTGCAGTGAAGAATTAACCTACCTAGGGGTCAGTGTATGGAGGCCATCTTTGGTCCATTTATATAACAGTGACAGAGTTTTCTGTTCCACAGTTGAAAATAAAATGTCTAAAAATGTAAACGCTTGGGGAGTAGTAACTCATTGGTGTTAACATATTTCAATCAAAGTTTAAAAATACTTCCAGGTTCCTTCCTCGTTTGACAGGGGATCTAGAAATCTGGGAAACATCACTGCCCAGCAGGACTGAAGGGGTGGGTAGCTGATGTGCAGGAGGAGGAGGCTGGGCAGTGTGTAGAACTTATACATTATTTGGATGGAAGGCATGGCGATATAGGAAAAAGACCACATTCAGTGGAATCCGGGACACAAACTGCTTCTCCACCACATCTTGCTGCATGATCTCAAGCAAGTTAGCTTTTGGTGCATCCTTGAGTATTTGTAGAATGGAGATAATACTACCTTGGCAGTTTGTTAGAATTATTGGCTATGTGCCGTCTTCTTGGAAACCTCTGTGCCATGAGAACCAGGTGGAGGAAGCAGCGAATGCATAGGTGAGGTGTAAAAGAAGGAAGATGGGGCCAAGGTCCGAGTAAACCACTAGCTTGTGCACCCTTGGAAGCCACAGGAGCAGAAATAACAAAAGCCAGAGGACAGGGATGCTGGTACAAATTGTTGGACTGCACACCCACTTTCTAGAGGTTGATTCAGTGGATCTAGAACATCTGTCGCCATCTGATCGCAATGACCACCTTTGAGAGACCTACCTTGCTCATACCAAAACAGTCCCCTTTAGTCCTTTGTCCTGGACCTGTGACTTTCGGGGCTCATTCTGTTTTCATTTGTGGCTGAATGTAACATGTGTACAATAAGTTATCTTTTCTGTCTTAGCTGGAAAAAAAAAAAAGAATTATTGGCTACAACAGAAATAACGGTGCCTGACTGTCGAAGGCCAATAAAAGGTTACAGGAAAATTCTTACAGCCACAGATTTTCTTGTATTAATCATATTGGTCTCTGTATTTGTTTCTTAGAGCTGCCATAACCAATTATCGCAAGTTGGGTGGCTTAAAACAACATTCTCTGTCTTCACGTGGCCTTCCCCTCTGGGTCTGTGTCTCTTGTCTTCTGTCTCTTATAAGGACACTTGTTACTGGATTTAGGGTCCTCCTGGCCAACCCCGGATGATCTCATCTCAGTATCCTTCATTACATCAGCAGAGACCCTTCCTCATAGGTGTTGGGGGATAGGACATGGTTATATCTTTTTGGGGGATAACCATCCAACCCATTATACTCTCTATCCATATCCTGATGATTAGAAAGTGTACTGGGGCACCTCATGGCCTGCACTAGGTGTCCAACTTGGGGGAATGATGCTTTTTAGACATCAAAGAAGTTCATTCTTAGCTTATTGTAGAACCTTTGAAAGATACAGAGGAATATAAAGAAACCAGGGGGAAAATGCATCTGCTTACCAGTATGCATTCTCTCCAGCAGAGTGGGAGAAAGTGGCTTATTTTTGCCTGATGTCCTGCTTCAAAACCTTCATGCTTCCCTGTACTTACTTTCAAAGATTGCCTGGCTGCAGATGCTCAATCCTCCCTGTTACGGGCTAAGATGTGTCTCCACCCCCACCCCAAATCCATATTTTGAAGTCCTAAGTCCCAGAACCTCAGAGAGTGACTGTACTTGGAGATAGGGTCTTTAAGGAAGTAATGAAGTTAAAATGAGGGCATTGTGGTGGGCCATAATCTAATACGATGGGTGTCCCTACAAGAAGAGATGAGGACACAGACACACACGGAAGGAAGACCATGTGACGGCACAGGAAGAAGACAGCCACGTACATGCTGAGGAGAGAGACCTTGGAAGAAACCAGCCCTGCTAACACCTTGATCTCGGACTTTCAGCCTCCAGGATCATGAGACAGTAATTTGTGTTGTGTAAGCCATGCTGTCCATGGTCCTTTGTTACAGCAGCCCTAGGGGGCTAATACCTGCCCCTTACCCACTGCCACCCAGCAGCCCCACACTGTTGCCTGATGGTACTTAGATATCTGTAGGCAGAGGTTTCTGCAGGACCCACCCTGGGTGTGAGTTGAATGCCTGGGAACAGGAAGGCCAACTCTATGGATGGACATTTGTGCGGGGTCCCAAACCAGTTTCCCATTCTAGTTAGCCTTAGAGGAGGAAAGCCATCTATTGTTACACTGCTGGCTTAGGGAAAGTTGTCTCCTGCAGTGATGGCTGGGAGGAGCAGCAGGCCAGGAAGGGTTGGTCTGTTCTGAGTTGTGCCCTTCTTCTTGTCTCCTTACCCTGTGTCATCATGGGCTCCTTTAGGGCTGGAGCAGGTTTTCCCCTCCATGAATCCTCTTTCTGGAGTCTGGAGCAGAGAAGGAGCTCTCTGTAAGGGTTTGGTGAGTGACTCCTTGAATTCTGGGGATCCATGAATGCTTCATGCTGTCACTAAATTTATGGTACAGCATTTGGGTTGAATTTTGAAGCAGAACACTTTATTTACACAATCGCCATGTATACATTTTCCTAAAATGTATGTATTCCTGACTGTGATACCTTTGGTTTTCTAGAAAGTGCCATCTAAAGAAGAATTTCTTCTCAGGACTCAGCAGTACTTTAGCTGTCCCTCCTGCTAACTGTGATCTAGAAAGTACTCTACAGTAATAATGAGTGTTCATGGAGTACTCACTATGCCAAAGGGAGGTAGTGTTACTGTCCCCCATTAACAGATGGGAAAACCAAGCCTTTGAGAGGCTAAGCAACTTGTTCAGGGTTACATGCCAGTAAGACGTGTGGCAGGAACTCCTCAAATTGGGGCTTGAGTCCAGGGCCCCTCTGAATTTGAGCACCCTCTCAATACTGTCTGAAAACTCTAACTCGCATAAGGCAGTCCAGGCAGGAATTTGCAATCAAAGTATAATTTGGTACTCAGCCTCCTTAACGGTGTTGCTGTGCTGATAATTGAGTGAATATGGAGGAGGAAACACTTAGAGTCTGTTTCCAGGAATGGGCTGGTCTTCCCCTCTTGTAGAAAACTTCTCTGCTAGACAGAAACTCTTGTGGGGTTGAATTCACTAAATTTCCTCCACCAAGCATAGTGCTTGTTGAAGAAATGCTGACCAATGGCATCATTTTGCAGACTAGCTGCTATGCTTTGTTATTATTATCAGGATTCAATTAAAGTATTACATGTATTATTTTCTATTAAGGTTTCTCCCTTGTAACATTTTCCCACAGTTTCATTTGAGAGTGGGGTTTTATTTTATTTTAGTAGTTAAAAATAAAGCAACTCCCAAGTGTTAAGAAATGAAAAACATTTTTTTTTCTTCCCATGAGTCATGGTTGACAATAATGTTATTTAAAAGTTAGATTGTACAGGCATTTTAACACCCATAAATTACAGGGCTTATTTTGTGAGCTGGAGTGTTAAGACATTTAAGATCCTGTCTTATGTATTGGAGAGTTTATTAACATAATTATTATGTATACAAAGCAATAAATTTTTTAACTTCAAAAAGTAAAATCTTTTATTCACTAGATCTGCTCAAACAGTTGTTGTTTTTTTTAATAATACATTATTTACTGGATCTGTGGTCCAAACAGATGTTGTTTTTAAAATAATGCATTAAAATTAATCTATAAAAGATGTTTCTATGAAAGGTTTTAGTAATTCATGCTAGATATAGCAAATGCAATAGCACAGATTTTTTTGTCTAAGAAAGTAAGTAGATATAAATTGAGTGGATTAAAAAGTTAAATTATTTTTATGTTTTAAGTCATTCAGAGGATGATGTGAGATAGTACTTTTCATGTACCAAATGTGTATAGCTTCCAGGATATCCAATGGATACTGTATTTGTGAGTTTTTCATTGTTATGAGCAGTGCTCATGGTAGAATTAGGAGAACTTTGGTTCTCTATTAATGCTTAATAATTTCTAGGCACTACTCATCCTTTCCTTTTTTAATCCGCCTTTGAAGAAAACACACATGCACAGGCTTGAGTGTAAATGTGCTTTCCCAAGAGAGAAGCCAAAAATGGCACGTGAGAAAACTCAAATCCTCTTAGTTTTCAAAGGACAGAGAGTGTGAAATGCATGTTCTTCTTCCCTTTTCTCAGAAGTCAGTTTTGTCTTGAGTTAAAAGTGGCATAACATCAGCTATTCAGCTTCATAATTAGTAGTACCAGGTATTTTGATAACTTTAGAGCAGTCTGAATTGGATTGATTGAAGCTAACAACAAGAGAGCATACGTTTGAGTCTTTATGTGAAAATGTTACCATAAAGACTTTGCCCCCTTAAACAGCTTTATTGAGGATAATTGATACACATGAAACTATACATATTTAAAATGTAAAGTAGGCTACATTTTGACATCTGTCAAATCATCACTGCCTTCAGGGTCACCCCCCAAATCTCCTTGTGTCCTTTTGTAACCCGTCCCTCTCATTCCTTCCTCAGCCCTGCATCATCACAGGTCTGCTTTCTGTTTATATAAATTAGGCTTTCTAAAAATGCAATTATATGTTACAGACCTTTTTGCTCTGGCATCTTTCATTCACATAACTATTTTGTAATTCATACCTGTTGGATATATCAATAATTCATTCCTTTTCATTTAGTAACATTTGATTATGTGGATATACCATAATTTATCCATCCATCTATCAGTTCAGTGGACATTTGGGTTGTTTCCAGTCTTTGGTTATTTCAGATAAAATTGCCATGAATTTTGTGTATAAGCTTCTGTATGGATGCATGTTTCAATTTCTCTTGGGTACATATCATGGCAGTAGAAGGGTTGGGTCATGTGGTTGATGAATGTTTACTTTTAAGAAACTGCCAGAATATTTTCTAAGGTGGTTGTACCATTTTACATTCCTCCAACAGCCTATCTTTGTATTAGAGTTCCTTTCCTCCACATCCATGTCAACACTTGCTATAGGTCTGTCTTTGATCTCAGCCATTCTAGTAAGTGTGTATAGGTAGCTCATTGAGCTTTAAAATAACTCTTGCTGATCGCTAACAAAGTCGAGCATCTTTTCAAGTACTGCCTTTTGTATATCTATTATTTTATTTAGAGTTTTATTTATTTGAGAGAGAGAGAGAGCGAGCATGAGTGAGGGGAGGGAGAGGGAGAAGCAGACTCCCCGCTGAGCAGGGAGCTCGATTTGGGGCTTGATCCCAGGAGCCCCAGGATCATGGCCTCACCCAAAGGCAGATGACTGAGCCACCTAGGTGCCCCCGTATATTTTTTGGGGGGAAGTGTTTTTTTAAGGCCAAAAAAACAGGGGCTTATAAAGCCTAGAAATTAGGTTCTCTTTTACATAATAGTGCAAATATAAACAGTCCAGTCTTGATTGATGACTCTACCATTTTGGGACCCCAGGCTCCTTCTGTCTGGTTGTTATGTTATCTTCCACATGATCTTGTAGTTTTAGATAGGTACTCCAGCTTCTGCTAATTTGTCTGTATTCTGGTTAGCAGGAAGAGGTGATGGTAAGGGATGGTATACTCCTTCCCGTTTAAGTGCATGACTTTCAAGTTGTACACATCACAGGGCACAGGGCACCTGGGTGGCTCAGTTGGTAAGGTATCCGGCTCTTGATTTCGGCTCAGGTCATGATCTCAGGGTCATGAGATCGAGCCCCACGGTGGGCTCTGCGCTCAATGGGGAGTCTGCTTGAGATTCTTTCTCTCCATCTCCCTCTGCTCCTTTTTCTCTCTCACTTTCTCTCTCAAATATATGAGTAAAATCTTAAAAAAAGTTGTACACATCACTTCTGCCTATATCCCATTAGCCAGAACCTGGTCATGTAGCCATAGCTCCCTGCAAGAGAGGCTGAGAAAGGTAGTCTTTGGCTGGGTGGTCATAAGCTCACAAATACTGCTATTATTATATTGACGGGGGATGATAGATAACAGAGTGAAGAAGGCAATCAGCAGTCTGACAGTGCTCATTCATATTTTGTGTAAGGTTACAATTAATAGTTTAATCGGAGTTGAGGGTGTTTACTGCTAAATATGCTCACTCAAAACTGGGAGATTGAGAATTATAACACAACAAAGCTTCATAATTGATGTCATTGAATTTGATCTTTCTTTAGCACTAAAACACGTTGTGGTGAGCACATAACCTGAAATTTGTCATACAGATTGTGAAGCTGAGGCAGAAGACAGAAACCCACCTTGCTAAGAGCATTCTACTTCATTCTTTAGGAAATGGGTTGACTTCAAGTTTTGGAGCAGTGTGGGAAAGCAACAGATTGGGGTCAAGGAAAGATAGTCTGGTGGCTCCCCATTGATTTTTGGATGAAATCCAAACACATTAATATGCTTACGAGGACCTACCTTCTTGTTATACCTCCGTTCCTGGTATCTACCTGTATCACCTGTGTTCTAGTCATGCAGTTCCTTGACTGTTCCTTATTATTATATGTTCCATATCTTCTAGCAGCTCTGCTTGCCATTTCATTACCTTTTTAAAAATAGAAATTTGGAGGTTAAGAAAAGGATTGGAGGAGTGAGGCTACTTAGATCCACCTGTCTGTCTCTGGCATTTATTAAGTGCTCTGTGCTCCAGAAGTAGGTGAGGTGCTTCTCCCTGGTCACCTCTCCTCATCGTCACCGCACCTGGTTAAGGGTATGTTATTATCCACATTTTACAGATGAGGAGCTGAGGTGGTTAGATGACTGACTTTAGGTTGCAACAGTCAGAAACTTGGCAGGACCAGGGATGTTGGTTGACTTCTGAGCCTGGGTTTTTTCCTACCACATCTTATTCTTTTCTTTGAGAGGAAGGTCTGCTCTTGGACTTAGGATGAGGATTAGTAACTGCAGTAATATCAAGAGGCTATGGAATGTCCATGAGCTTCAGAGGCAGGTCTGAGTTACGCTTGCTGGGTGTGGGCCCACCGAGAGCTTTTACCTTGAATACCAGTGAAATGACCCACCTCACTGACTTATGTCGGGGAAAGCTGGGGAAGAGGGGGTGGGGGAAGATTTGGAGTACAGTTTTAACCAGTTGGAATGGGTTCAGCCTTGACTCCTGCAAATGAATGCTTCAGGGTTGTGTGAGTTGAGCAGTATTAAAAATTTCCCTCACCCTGAGGATCTTCCATTAATCCACTAGATGGAGCACATGGTTTGAATATATTTCATGATTTGAAGTTGGAAGAAAAGATGAGGTCTTCACTTTGGAGCGATACTGCAGACCCCTGAAGTTGGCCACGCATTTTGATCTGTGGATTTTTTTTTTCCTGTATAAGTATAAACATTTCTTTTACTTAATACTTCTGTGGGTCAGGAATGTATGAGGTTTTTGGGGGGCCTGACAGAGAGGCATCGTGGTAGAGTAGAAAGAGGTCTAACCTGGAAATCTGCGGATGAGGGACTAGACACCCAGTACTCTGTGGCTTTGGTCATCTTTAATCATCTTTGAGCTTCGGTGTCTTCACTTGTAACATTGTTGTACTAGGTGATGATATGTAAGATGTGCCTTACAGATGTTGGGTATATGGTGTCTTCCGTGCCATCCCTTTAGGTCACCCGTGTGACCAAAGACACGCCAGCTCCCATTTTGCCTGACTCAATTTGCAGTCACAGCCAATGTCTGTACAGTGGAGAACCTATCAAATTGCAGGACCCAAAGTGATCTTTGATGTCATTTGAATTCAGTTGCCATTGCAGTGCTTCTGTCTCTCATTGGCTTCCCCCGCACCCCCCCCTCCGGTGTGAACATACCCTGGGGCTAGAGTTTCATTTCCTCCCAGATAGCCTCTTCTATCTTAGGGCAATGCTGGTGATTAGAGAATTTTTTACTATGAGTCTTGGTTGTCCCTTCCAGAGCAGCCTGGATCTTGTAATCTAATCTGCTTTCCATATTCCGATAGTCTGTTTAGAGCCAAGATGGAACATGTGTCTTTGCCCTCTCTACTGCTGGGCCTGGCTGAATTAAATGATCTATCTATAAGAAATAAAAAATATCATCAAAATGTTTCCTAGTCCTTAGTTCTTACCTGATGGATAGAAAAGCGGCCATATACATAATTTCAATCTGTCATCTGTTCTCAGATGTATTAAAACATCACATGTCCTGAGATTTTTAGCTTTTATGGCAAGGAACTATTCTTTAACAGTTGTTGACACATTTGTTCCTAAAAGCCAGTGATATCTTAGACTCCTGGGATCTGCTATTAATGTTTAATGAAGTAAAATGAAAATTTTCACTTTTAGCCAGCTTTGAACTTTCTATGGGCATGTGCAATTTCACCATTCATAATTTCTGTTAATTTTAAATTAAATACACATCTGCTGAATAAAGACTTTCACATAGGTTGACATTCTTGGTTGCCAAGTATAAAAGTTTGTGATATTTTGAGTCCAACTATTCAGAATCCTTCAGAATTATACAGGTTTGGTATCCTCAATGGAAAAGCAACAAAACACCAAGCTCACTTTAATTTATGGCACATAAATTAATATATTTTTATAGTACCTCCCCTTTTGGTTGATAAAAAGGACATGGCTGTAGTCTTCTTTTTCCCAAATAGAGGAGTTTTCAGGGTTCATATATTTGGATGGGTTTTGGAATCAGTTTTAACATTAGTCTATCCATTGTATCTGCATTGGCACTGATAACAGATTAAACATATATATGGCATCTTCCCATTTATTGGGTAAGAAATAAAAACTGAGAAACTTCCTTAGACTGAGGCCACTTAGCATAAGGATGTACCTTGTTCTCCGGGTGACATCTAGCCAGTGACCTACATTGGTGACTCTGATGGGTTAAAAGAAGGAAATGCATCATCAGTTTTTCCCAGGAAATATTAAATCATCAAGACATTTCTTTGGTTACATAATAGATGTAATCAAGCTGTTGGTTATTACGAAGTTAAGAAGCATATCTTCCCAGAAGTGGCCTTGAGTTTGTTCATTTGTGGAAGTCGGGATTCTAATCTCTCCCACCCATCAGGGATGTATTCTAAACAGGTGGTTGTGACACAAGCTCTTGAATCCTCTGTGGTTCTCATCAGGAACCGTCGGAAGGAAGAAATCACCCTCCATACACGTGGGGGATTTGTGTTGTGAATAGAACATGAAGCAGACCCTCCAAATGGAGACTTTCCATTAGCTGTGCGCGAACCACCTTTGCTAATTTAGAAGTTTTGGTGGGACCCTGGGATAATAAAAATGATATCTGGCCGCTTACTGAGTATCTTCTTGGATGTTTTTGGCTCTGGAGTACGTACCTCCCCTTTCAGTTGATGAAAAGGACCTAGCCCTAGCCTCTCCTCTTCCCAAATAGAGGACCAGATCTATTTTAAGGAACAAATATAACCAAATGAAGCCCTGGAAGATCATGTGTTCTTTCAGAGTATTACATTTATAAATACCTTATAATTTTTAATTCCTCTGTGTAATCAACATTATTATTTATT